AAACGCGGATATGGTGCAACTTTCATGCTTAATTTTCTCAGTCCTCTGGGTATGTAATAATCTAATTTTATGCAATGTAATGTGCAATTTTTCAAAGGCTTTTCAATGCAGTTATCGGTTTAAATATACCTAGAATTCCCGTTAAGATATATGACAATTGCCGTACGGCCTACTTTTACGCAAACGCGAATAGCTACAATTGTAACATTCGGCTTAATTTTCTCTGTTATCTGGGCATGTAGTAATCTAATGCAATGTTATGTGCTGTTATTTCAAGGGCTTTTTAATGCAGATATTGGTTTAAATATGCCTAAAATTCCCGTTAAGATAAGACAATTGCCCCCCCTTTCATGCTTAATTTTCTCTGTTATCTAGGTATGTAGTAATCTAATTTTATGCAATGTAATGTGCTGTTTTTTCCAAGGGCTTTTTAATGAGCGCAGTTATCGGTTTAAATATACCTAAAATTCCCGTTAAGATATGACAATTGCCGTACGGCTTAATTTTACATGAGATATTCGAGCATACGTGGTAGTGATTATTTATTACAAAAAAAAACAAAATAAAGGCTTTTTTACTTCCGGGAATCGATGCCGAGAACGTATAGTATAGCGTATCAACCCCGGGGTTGTAATCGTCCCCCCCAAGGCTTTATTTACGACCCTAATTTTCGTGTTGACATACGTGTCTAAACCGGAAGTAGTAAAAATGTACGCGTTCTGATTGGCTTAGCGCCAAAAGGTAAACCAATGGTCGAGAACATTATTTGCCCTTGTTGCCCCCATCACTTTTCTAATGGTCTCCCATTATAGAGCCTGTCACGCAGGCTAATGATACCATGGCCACAGACACAGATGTTATTACGGTACAGTAAATTTATATGAGCAAATGTTGTGAAGGTTTGCAACTTATCTCCTTTTTTTAATACAGAGAACTATAGATATCCTAATACATTGTATCTTTTTACTCGAATAGGACAAACTAATTGACGAGTTGAATCACACGTTGGTCGCCACGCAAGAAAGACTTGAACAAAAAGAATTTGTTCTCGACGAAAAAGAAATAGAAATTATGGAAAGAGACGAACTTGTTGAGCAACTTCGAGAGAAATTAGCAACTGCTGAACAGCTCTCAGCCTTGCAAGAAAGTAAGAATGCCGAACTATTGGCGACATTTGAGCAAGAGACTGCGGACATAGAAAATTGGCGCGCGAAATTAAAATGTACAGGTAGGTCAATACGTGAACAAAAAACTATATACAGGCCTGTCTATATTGACACGCTATAAACCGAAACGTCTCGTCTAGCTGGACGAATATTTCCTTGCTTTCATATGCATTTTTTCATCACGATTGCAGAGATTGAAATTCAATAAAATGTCAATGCAGTTCTATAATATTTAGCGCTTGCAAACTTGTTACATTTAAGTGCATGTATTCTGGCCAGAATCTGGCCATAAACTAATTAAAGCAGCGGTAATTGAGCGAGACGCAACCAGACATTGGTTTTGTTTCGCTGCCTGTTACGAACGAGACATTTGTATCGCTTGTTTATGGCCGAGAATTTGGCCTGAATGAACGTGACATCGCAAGACAAATTGTCTCACTCAAACGAGACAATTGTCACGCTGCTTTTACAGCGAAACATGGACGAGGCAGAACGAGACAAGCAACAGAAATTCCTTTGTGTGCCATGAAATTGTGAGATTATTATCATATCCGGCGAAAATTCAAAGAAACTGAGCACGACAAGAGCGTTACGTTAAAAATTTAATTTGTTGTGTCTCGGATGACAAGGCACGCGATTTGAGTTGGGTTTATTTTGGTCGAATAAGTGAAAAGTTGCGGATTTTCGACAACGATCATCGCTATATATCGCGCTGCATTCTCGGTAATTCTTCAGGCAGGCGAAGTTGAAGTCAAATGATAGTCTCCCTCGCAAAGTTTCTGTGCGACTTTGAGATTCAAGGCATTGGCAATATATGCATTGGCGACAGTCTTCAAGTTTCTTCTAGATCTAAGTAATCAATCTCAACGTTTGTCTGCTCTGTGATACCGCAACACATAATTTTTTCGTATCATACTAGCGTATGCCAGCGTATGAAAAATATCACTCATACGCCGGTATACGCTGACATACGCTAGGGGTACGTTAGGCATAGGTTGTATACGTTACAAGCACGGTGGCATACGGCGAGGCAGAAAATTTTTTTAAGCATGCTCAAAATTTTGTGCGTATTTGGACGTATCGTTTATACGATAAGCATACTCTAGGCACACGCTGAATACGCTAGAGGTACGCCAGATGTATGGTACTCGTACGCTGGCATTTCAAAGGATTTTTGTGCGCATGAAAATTATTTCATTAATTTTCGAACGCTTCTCATACGTTTCTCTCATACGCAATAGTGTGACAGGGCCTTAAAAACTTTAGATAGAAAAGCCTACAAAATATTCAAGGCCGAAATAAATCCGATTATCATGTTTGTCACAATGCAGTGGCGAAATTAAGTCTGAAGCTGCGACCCGAATAATGACTTAGGTCTAGCTTTCAACCCTGTTGGGTTTTTTTATCCGCCGCTTTGTGCTTGCGGACAAATTGACCGTTTACACGAGTCGCCGCAGCTTATTTAATATTTTCGCTCATATAAATGCAACATCGTTCGCAGGCTTTTAGCCTGGGAACGAGGTTGATATAAATGGCCCTAATGTCAATGTAGATATATACATTTTAATATGAACTGGTCTTCATAACGATACGTCTGTTAGTTAAAACAAGTCGATAAGGCTTTTAGTAAGCAAAAGCCCGTTGCAATAGCGTGATGTTCTTTCAATGAAGTGGAGTTATCTTGAAGTATAAAAGTAATTTAATCGCTGACATAATTTTAAAACTAGGCAAGGGGTGCGAGGTTGGGCAAGGAGATGCAAATAAATCACAACAGCTAGAAAGAGCATACTGAAATGAGTAAAATCTCGAGTAAAATTGCAAAGTTTGATTGCGATATGGCTTGCAAATTTCGGAAATTTTGTATACTTTAAGATTTTGTGGTGACAATCTGCAATGTAAACAGCCCGCGATTGTGGCCGTAACTGTTGTGCAATTTGCAGCAATTTTATGGCTTGAAATCACGAGAGTTAAATTTTCAATACTCCTCTAATAAATACAAAGATTTTGTTCTAATTAGGTTGTTTATGGCTGTTTTCTTTTAAGTGATTTGGCTGTGGCCTGTCTGTAGCCATAGGAAAGAATTTGCGGCTGAGCTATTATATATCTGCACCTCTAAAGTAAGTAAAGCAAGATTTTAAAGACTGTCTTTGATTATCGCTTGGGACACACGAATACCAACAATTATTGCGGTGTCTGCCCTTTATATTCTGCCTGAGCGTTTCTTCATAGTTTGTTTGGATCAATAACGACATTTCCTCTAGACTTGCTCCAAGTTTCTCTTTCATTTTCATATCGATCCACTATAGTGTATATTACATGACGTCGATAGCACGGAAAGGCGGAGCGAGAAAGAGAGACTTGTCAACTTCGGAAAATCTCGGTTCAAAACTGAACCGAAAATGCAAGACTTGCTTTAATTGTTTTCCTTCAATTTCTTTCTGTATTATTTACTATAATGGAACTCGTGTTATTTACACTGTGCCAGATCAATATATACATATAAACACTGACAGAAAACAATTAAAGATGCGGTACAGTCCGATCTGCGCATGTGCACAAAGGAGCCCTCTTTTTATTTACAAACAGTTTATTTAGGTTTTTATTTCATTTTATGTTCTTGCAAAGCTTGATTGTTGTGTCTTGATAATTTATTATACTCTAGAATCATGAAAATATAAATAGTTGTCGAATAAAATTCAATATTTTGGATACCGAAATGTAAACAAAGCCTTTGTTTACATACGGACTGTACCGCATCTTTAAAGCAAGTCTTGCATTTTCGGTTCAGTTTTGAACCGAGATTTTCCTGATGTCATGTAATACACACTATAGTGGATCGATATGACAATGAAAGAGAGACTTGGAGCAAGTCTACATTTCCTCATGGAGTACGACAAATTTATACAAAATTTGCGAACTTTGCAAGGCTATATTTTCCGCATTTTACAACATTTCACAACCAATCTTTGCAATTTTACTAATTCTAGTATGCTCTTTCCGGGAATATACTTTTTTGCCAAGATAAAAGCAGTATATAATGGGAATTGTCTATTGTTTATTTCGCCTAAAGATTTGAGCGGTTTGTCAACAATCCAATTTCGCTTGTCTTTCAAAGGCCATAAATCGCTAGAATACCGCTGTTTAGAGATACAAACTTTTAAGCTGCATGATTTGGGAATATTTTTCCTTATTGGGTGCATAAAGCGCAGCAAAGAAGCGGTCTAACAGTCCAAGATTAATTGCCAATACCCTTTAAGGTGGCTCCCTACAGTTTTCTAAAATTTTAAGTATTTTAGGTAGCCTTCGTTTTGAACCAAATTTATATTGAAAACACAGGGCAATATAATCATTTCCAGGAAAGTTCAGAAGTCTTCTGCTGTTGATATATGAACAAATAGGAACAGTGTTAGTGTTGCCATGGCAACCATGACGTTTCATCTTTTGCACTTTTATTGTCTAATTTTACAATCAAACGGCAATATCTTTTTTTTCCTTCGGTCAATTTTTCTGAATTTTTTTTTTTAAGATTTATGGTTGAAAGGGGAATGACATATTAAAATTTGAAGGGATGTTTATAAGGCCGGTTTTGAGATATTCATGAATAACGACTACAAAAAATCTGTCTTATAGAATTTCTTGAAATTTTGATATGTTTGGCGAATCGTCATGCTTAGCAAACGTGCAAAGTTTAAAAAACTTTCACCGAAGGAAACGCGAGAAAAATAGTCCTAAATCCAGTTGAAGCTGTTGACGTGACAAAATATCGATTCGACATGATCACTATTTGCGTGGGGAACACGAAACGCGTACGGTTTATAGTTGGCTTTTTAGCAATTTTCTCTTTGAGTTTCTGGCTTATATGTATCACACAGATATTTTTTACTTATTTGAAATGAAAATAAAAGATATATGTATTCAAAATACGAAACATTGAGAACACAATAACGCACTGACTTAATCCAACGTTTCTTAAATTTAGTTTTGTTATGAAAATCGGTGTGAAAACATTCAAGTAGAGTTTGACTTTTCGTATAAAACAACTCGTAACTGTCTGCATTATAATTTTATTGGATTCAGGAGATAAAAAACTACTGAGTTGAATGACTGGGTTTACGTAAGTTTCAGTGACAATTGCCTTCAAGACAGTATAAAATATAATTTCAGTCCGTGACACTGTTGTTGAACATTGTGAGCATTATGAAATACAGTACTGAACGTATTAAATATATAAAAAAAACACACTGAATGTAGGTAAAAACTAGCTAACAACATACGTACTGTTCGAATGTTGAAAAGTTTAGGATTATAATAAAAACTGGCGTTTTCTTTGTAGATAAAAATACAAAAACAACTTCCCGCGGCTTGTTTACTTGTTTCAAGATTTTTACCGGGCCACGACGATTCCACGCGCGAGTCGCGAGGATGACGTCTGAGCTATATAAATATTTTAAACTGGACTATAACTGTAGGGAGCCACCTTAAGGGAAAATAAACAATTTTTTGACAGACTCCGCTCTCCGTACTCAGATTCCGTACTTCGCACTCCGTCTTTTCCACCATGCCTGTTTGAATTAATCGTGCTAGAATGTGGATCTCAAGTGGATTAAGGTGGCTCGATACAGTTTTCAAAAATTCAGGTGTTTAACACTTTGACA